CTTGAATAAATTAAACAAATTAAAATTATAGTGATTAATTTAGTTTACAATGTGTTTACAAATTTTTATAAAAATATTTAAATTCACTTTGGAAGAGATTAAAAAGATAATTTGAATTGGTTAAAGAGAAAGTTCCCAACTATTATGTAAGATACAGGCATCTTAAAAAGAGAAAAATATTATGTAAGATGTTTGATTAAGAAAGTATTGAAAAACGTAGAAATCTCATTTTCTAAGTTCTTAATGATTAGGGAGAGAGAAGTACTGAAGAGAGTAAGGGAGAAAGGTTGGTGAAGAAAGATAGAGGGCATGTGATAGATAAAGAGAAGTAAACAGAAAAACAAAAGCAAAGGATAACAATAAGATGCTCAAGAGAAAGACAGAGGGTATACAGAAGAGACGAATTGGGATCAAAAGGAGACATTGACATAAAAGAGCAGCAAATACAATACAATTGAGATGCTAGACCTTCAAAGAATTTTATTTTTTAAAATATGTCTTCATTTTTCTAAAAATAAATTATTTGTAGATGTACCAGAAAGAAAATTCAGACAAAAAGAAATAGAAATTGAGTATATTACTGTTTGTATTGATGACAGCAATCAAAAACAGTACCTAGCAGATTCTAAATTAAATTAATGGAACCAACTGTTTTGGTTGATGTGGTGCATAACCAACCTGCTTCACCTAATGCCTGCAAAAAGGTATTATGGAGAGAAGTTGCCAATTAATGAAATTATTCTGCCTTCCCTGTAATGAAAAACTTGGTAATACTGTTACACCAACATGAAGACCAGCTATACAAAAGCAGCCGATGCAAACATCTCGATGGAAACTAAGTCCATATAATGACATCAGGCTACAATGCTTCCATGCCACCACAATTGATAAAAAAAAATATATAAAATGAAGCAACAAATGGAATGGAAACTTGGGAAAACAGATTTACATTAAGTTCTACAACAATTCAATGCTCATCATCGTCCACCTACTTCCTATTTCATGCTAAAATTTGACAATATTCAGCGTGCTAGCGAGTTCCTGCTGATCGGGTTTTTCTTAGTCTGCCACGTGTTAACCGAATGCTTTCTTCCATTATGGTTTCTTTGGTAGGAGTAGGAGGATTCCCATTTTCATTAACTGAAGAAGATGAAGATGGTGCTCCTGCTTCGACCTGCTTTGCGTCCGACTCTGCTGGTGCAGACTGAATGCTTGTTTCAGGCGCAACATTAGACTTTTGAGTGCTCAAAGCAGCTCCAGCAGACTTCTGAGTACTCAAAGCAGCTCCAGCAGACTTCTGAGTACTCAAACCAGTACCACCAGACTTTTGAGTACTCAAACCAGCTCCACCCGATTTCTGAGTACTTAAACCTGTTGCAGATGTGGCTGCTTTGGGAACTTTTGGAGAATCCAATTCCTCTGCTACTTCCTTCTGGAGCTGACTCGAAGATGTGCTAGAGGTAGGGGATGGAGGCTCCTCAACTTGTGGTTCCGTTGCAGCAGCTGGTTGGTGATTTGGAGGTGCTGGTTGACGGACCTTCACACCTGGGCGTTGCTGTGGTTTCAAGAGCAATTTGTTTTCTTATTGGTATTGGTATGTGCATAAAGAATAATAAGTTGGATAATAACTGTATCCTCCTCAAAAACCAAATAACCAATAATCTACAAACTGAAGTTACAAATGGATAATAACTGTATATAACTTTTAACAGCGTAGAGACACGGAACCAAATAGCAGTATCTTCATTTCAACATTATCATGGAAAAAGGAAATATTACTTACTACAATATTTTCCTCTTTCTATGTAAAAAATGAGTATAATTTCAGGTCTTAGTTTCTTTTTCTGTACAATATCGTTTTAACAGGCATGCAATTGTTCTGACTGGCACCTTTAAACGTACTTATGCATAAATTTTAAAAAATACATATTTTATTATTGCAAACCAGAAAAATTCAGGATAAGGGGCACAATTCAATGGCAAATTACGAAAGCCGATAATTGATATTCTAGTATACTTAAGTCACGCTCGATCATAATAGCAGACACAACCAGTACATATTCATAATCAACTACCTGAGCAGGTCGAGGTGCTGGAGTCGATTGTGCAGCAACAAATTGAAAAATGTCATATATTCTAGTCTGACCATAACTGAAAGCTCTTTGCCAATACAAAACTGCAATGTCCCCTGCCCTTGTCCTCAGTTCCAACAAGTTGCGATCAATCTCTGTCTCATGTTTGGCAACATATGGTCTGAAGAAGGAGTCATACACATATGTTGTTCCCTAACACAACAATATTACATTTTACTGTCATATTGAAGAGAAGCAAATAAGAAAGTAATAAAAGATTTTATACCAAAATAAGTAGTTTCATACCTTAGTTTTGGGATACCAAAGAAATATGAAAAATGCCAACTTAGCTTCACTGTACATTGGGACCCTTCATGAAGAAATCAATTCAAAGCTAAGAAGTCATTATAAACTTTTTTTTAATAAGGAAAGCAGATATTCTTTGAGCACATCCAAGATAGAATCCTCTACCATGATATAAAAGTATCTCCAACCCTCTCACATACTGTTAAAACGGCCACCAAGATCCTGCAACACGGGGAAAAACAAAGTTGGTATCAGTATTTGTCAGTAGAAGTTATCACGTTAAGTTCAGCACAAACAACCGATCTATAATTCGTTCCAAATTAGCTCTATTTTGAGGGGGAAATGGCATTATTTTCCAGCAAAAATCATTAAAAAGCTACAGAAAACAAATATGATTATTTCTCTTGCTAACAGCTGAACCAAACATGGTAAACGCATACCAATACTGGCACCAAAAGCGGAGCTGTTCAATTTCCGGTTTATTCTTTTCAACCGCTTTATAACATTCATAGGCTGGATAAGCATAGCCAAAGATCATCCTGTCAATAAATCAAAAAGACCAAATAAAACGATTAACCTTCAAATCTCACACACAAACCATTCATATCAGAAAAAAACTGGAATTTAGAACATCAAAATACATACGCAAGCGCCCACGTAAGAAAGGATCCAATCATTTTGTATCCCTGACATTGAAAAGAAAAAGGTTACTCCAAACAGCATAACGTAATAAAATTCAAGCAACTAAAACTGAATAACAGCGATTGCATTGCCATATCAATTAATGTATCTCAAAACAATCTACAATTCAAAGCCAAAAATTGTCCAATTCCAAGCTCATTAAAATATCAGCATGACAATATCCTAAAGACTATCCCTACTCCCTACACCCTATTTTTCTCCACAGAACCACAATTCCTTTCAGTTTTCTTTCCAAACTTGAACAATAGCAAGCGCAGTGTTCTTAGAACAACAATAATCGTGAGTTGTCAACCTAGATAATGTTCATCAGTCATCGCAATACCTAGCCGTGGAATGCATAGAAAAATGCAGAGGAGGAAACCAGTGAATCGTAAAACTAGGTCGAAGCAATGCGAAGTAAATTAAAGATCAGCGTCTAAGATCAAAACTCCACAACACTAGCACAGGTAACAGAACCGTCTAATGCACTAAAAGCCTTAATTTAATCAGATTCGTTTCACACGTCGCAAATCAACAATGAAACCAACATTTAAAGTGACAATGAAAAACAAATACCTAGAAATGAGTGTATTGCGTTGAAGAAAGAGAACGAGAAAAAAAAAGAAAATGATAGTCGGAATCCTAAATGAAAGGAGCAGAGGTAAATCTGGAGGCGGAATATGGAAGAGATCGGCGACGGCGCCGGGAACGGCCACCGCAGACCGTTACACTGTCGGCGAGAGGTGTTGGGAGAAAAACAGTGGTATGAGAAAGAAAAGAAAAGAAAAGAAAGAGGATTAGGATTTTGGATTTAGAACAGACGAAGCGTTTTAAATGGTTTTTCTGTTCATTATATGGATCAGTTGTGAGAGTGTGTGTGTGTGCAGTGTATTAAATTATAGACTATTTATGACTCACTACACTACTACACTGTAGAGAGCTAGAGAAAAGATTGTGTGCGTGGAGGTGTTGCAACTTTGTCTGTGGCGTGATCTTCGCTCATCAATTACCTTTCACTTTCACTCTAATACTCATCACACCACAAATCAACATTTTTTAGTCAATTAACACAATCTTTAATTGATGAATTGCTTTTCGAAATTTTATATAAAGTTTTCATAATTTCAAGAATTAATTAGAAGAATTTATAATATGTATAGTATAACCACTCACTCAACGCATTCTCCTTAGTTATTACCGATCAACTTTTTTAAAAAAATAAGGATTTTTCCAACCTCAGTAATTTCTACCAATCAGTTATGATCTCCACAAATGACCCATTGATAATACACATAAAAACTATCAAACACAAATATAACATGTCTAATAAGGTAAAACATGTTTATGAATTCTTAGAGTAATTAAATTAATTTTAATTAAAAATTTATTTTGAAACTTATAAATATAAATAAGAAAATACGTGATTATATCTATTGTAAAATTAATATTTTATTATAATAATCTATCAAATTCGATTCTTTATTAAATTTTTTAGTGTCATTGTAATATTGTATTCAAAACATATGAAAATCGGGTTGGGATGATTATTATGTTTGAGCGGTGAAGTAGAGGAAACGGGTCATGGAGAGTTTTTGTGAAGCAGAAGAAAGCTAAGAGAAGCAACGAAGCATGTCGATGGTAGATTTATTGGGTTCAAAAGTAAAAGCTAAGAAGAAAAGAGCACTATCCTAATGTAATAAAGGCTCAAGTTTATTTGAGAAAGGCAAAGGGACCCTAAGATGAGGTGACACTATAAGGGTATCATTAATAATTTATGCATTATAAAAGGTAAATAAAAGGGTACCATGTGGAGATTGGAGAAGTTGATGTTTCCTCATCAAGAGGAAAGATGAAAATGAAAACCAAAAAGAAAAAGAAGGGAAAGCCTTGGATTCTACGTTTCTTCTTAAAGTTTATGAGTGATCCATTTCATTGCATGTTATGGGGCATGCGAATGTTGAATATAGATATTTTCTATGTACCATGATACCAATTTGCTCAAGTTCAACATCAATCTTCATTGTTGCTCATTCCCTCATGTGCCACCTAATTATGTCTATTTGGTAGCCTTTCGCTCTCGTTTCTTATGTATATAATACCCATCTCTTATTTACAACTTTTTCCCTTTCTTTCACACCACAACTCATTTCTACTTTTTCTTCCTTTACCTTATTCACAATATATCAAACAAAATCATGTTTCATCTTCTTTCTTTCATGGATCCTTCGCATTAGGTTACTGTATTTTCATTTAACTTATTTTAGAACAAAAAATGGTTAGTTATTTTATCATTTTGGAGAGAATTTAAGAAAAAAAAATGTTCAGTTTTCTCTTAAAAACTAGTCGTTTTGAACCGAACCTGGTCGAATTATAAAGCAAATGATAACAAAAGATAGATGGCATAAACCTATTGTGTTTGGAATGCTATTATTATTTGGAATAAAATTCAAACAGCAAAGAAGGTATTATTGTGTCAGAAACAAAATGTGCATGTCGTAATGTGTCTGGAGGTGTCGCAATGAAAGACAAAACCAAATTTCATAAAAATCAATAGAATTGTTTTAAATTATTATTATT